AAGTTCAGGGAGAACGGGTACTCAGAAGATGAGGACCTATTACTTGATCCACCCCCGTTCACAATTCTGTTTAGTCTGGGACTGTTTAAATCCCTCCTCCACAAGGCTAGGACCACTGCCCAAATTGATCCCCCACCCACTATCCCAACTGCTTCACCAGACACTCAGGGGCCTAGCAGCAGGGTTTTTTCCAATCCTACAATTCTCAAACAGGAGATCCCTTGTCCCAAGTTATTTTTGGACATAGTTCAGGGGCAATGGGCACATCCTTCCCCACACTTGAGGACATCTGCAGGATGGCTACATGGTCCTCCCTGTCTCCATTTGTAAAGCACTACAGACTGGACACATACGCCTCAGCAGAGGCGGCCTTTGGCAGAAGAGTGCTACACTGAGTGCATACAGATGGGAGTGCACAGGACCAGACTTCTTCCCGCCCATAGGGACTGCCAGCTTTTGTATGTCCCATATGTGTGGATTATCCCAAAGGCATGCTGGAGAATAGGCATCGGCTTACCTGAACGCAGTTTCTCAGCAAGCCTTGGGATAATCCACTCCCACCCTGGCAACCATCTGGTCCAGTGTCTAGGTGGGAGGCAGAGCCAACGCCACAGGAAGATCATCAAATGGCTGCACTTTCCTCGTGACTGGGGCTAGGGGGCTTCCTGCCCCGACAGGAAGAGGCATGGTAAATATTGATGACTCAGTCTCTGGGCAGAAAGGCAGATTCAACCCATATGTGTGGATTATCCCAAGGCATGCTGAGAAACTGCATTCAGGTAAGCCAGTGCCTATTTCCAATGGCAACTATGGCATGTTTACTATTGGTTACCGTAGCTGCACTGTAGGTCAGTGGTATATTGGAGCTTTCCTGACAGTCCATGCCTTGTAGTGCAGATAGAGCATTCAGTTCACCTAGGCCAGGGGTGTCAAACTTGATTTCATTGAGGGCCGCATCAGGGTTGTATTTTACCTCGGGGGGCCAGGATGGCTGTGGCCAAGGTGGGCATGGTCAACTTGACATTCATGTTGGTGGCACCTCTGGTGGCCTGAGTAGTCTGCCAGCAAAAACAGCCTCCTGAACTTCATTTTTGGCTGCGATCACAACCCTCTGGTAGCAAAAATGGAGCTCAGGACAGCTGCCTGTGGCCCTCACATGCTCTGTTTTCGGCTGTGAGGGTCTGCAACCCTCTGTCGGCAAAAATGGAGCTCAGGAGGGCTGCATGCATCTCTCCAAGGGTTCGTTTTCACTGGCAGAGGCATCGCAGGCTGGTCCTTTGCTGTTTCCAGGGCAGCCCCACAGGCCAGATCTAAGCATCCTGTGGGCTGAATCTGGCTCCCGAGCCGTAAGTTTGAAATCCCTGACCTAGGCAGTATCAAAGAGAGAGAGAGAAAGAGAAGACACCTGGTAGCCCCATCAATATCTGAAAACGTTGAAACAAATTTCACACAATTCTTTGTAATTTTCAGAAATGTTTTTAGCTCTTTTTCTGACATGCCACTTTTGGAAACCCAGAAAATGATGATCCTCTCTCTTGTAAGATTTCTGAACTTTCCTTCCAGAGCACATAAGAAAAAGATGCCCCTTTAATTGTCTTGTCTCCAGTGTACCATTTTGAGATGGATGATCCCTGTTAAAGGGCAAGGGAAAGAGAAGAAAGTTTGTTATGTGTAGTAGCAGTATGTCTCTACGGATAATTATTTGTAGGTTTCAGAAATTTGGTAAGATTTCTAACTCCTAATCTGTTTATTAATTGCAACAAAAAGATAGACAACCGAAAAGGTTAACCAAAGAAAAATTAATGCTTTGGAATTTTGCTGCTGGAGAACATGGTTGAGAGTTTATTGAGTGAATGGAACCATAAATCATTCAATGCTTGAGGAGATCAAGCTAAGTTGCTCACTGAAAATAGCTTCATTAATGATAATGAAGCTAAAACTTAGATATTTTGGATACCTAGTGTGGAAGAGAAAATCTTAGAATAATCAAAGGAATAAAAGATTCAGGAGAATAAAATATCTAGTTACGATCATAGCTATAATGGAGGTGTTATTCAGCAGGTTCTGATCAGTTCTGGAGAACTGGTAGTGGAAATTTTGAGTAGTTCAGAAAACTGGCAAATACCACCTCTGACTGGAGATTTTACAGTATCCTTCCCCTGCCTTGCCCACCAGGCTACAGAACTGATAGTAAAAATTTTTGAATCCTACCACCGGGCTATAAGGTTACAAGAACTCAAGGAGGTATTTCTTAGCAAACACTTTTCTACTCGGCCATTATGAATTAGAAGCAACTGAAGGATAGAATAGAAAAGCAAGCAATAGAATAGAAAAGCAAGCAATATGAGACTATCCTACCATTCTAAATTATATTGCTGTTCTAGGAAAGTTTGGACCTTAGGAAAGTTAGGAACATGTGTGATTTCAGACTGTTTTGATTCTCAGAACAAACTTCCCTTTATGTCTAATTCATCGTACTTGTAGTTTATATTTGTTTGTTGTTTTTTAAAGTACATCCTGGAAATCTGAAGCATCTGCTATATGCCAGCACTGCTCTACCTAATCTTTAACATTATGTCTGTAGCTGGAGATTCAGCTCAGTACTTATGAATCACTTGTTCCATGATTAAAAGTAGAGAAATAAAATAATTCCTTCACTCTTCCTAAAAATCTGATTTTGTGCTTATCTAATACAAACCTCGTATGCACGTAGATATGTATTATTTGATTAACAAATGTACATAGCTGTCCATCTCACAAATGAGACTTTTGGTGGCATACAATAAAACAGTTTTTTAAAACTTTAATATGATAATGATGTATGTACTGAATGGAAGTAATAACCTATATTTTGGTACTATTGTTATATCATATTCTTTGTTTTTTGTCTTAGTTATAACCTAGTATATCCTTACATTTAAGGTTGCCTTAACATTTGATGGACAAGGAAATCTTAGTCCTATTGCAACAATCTGACTTCATTATATTATCAATCTGACATGATTATTCTAGTAGAATACTATTTAAAACTGGTGACAAATTTCTAATAAGCCGGCTGTTATATATGCATGTGCCTTTGTTAAGCATGTATGGAGAAATAAGTGTTTCTGATTTGGAAAAGTTTGGAATAAAGACAGCTTTGTGATTTGATCTTTATCTGTTCTCTGCATATGATCAAGCTACCTAAAGGTATTTGTTTCTTCCTGTTCATTCACTTTTTATTCTGTTCACATTCATTCAGTGCCCATTCATTCTTGATCTTACCATTCCTTAAGTGCCCATTCCCAAAGTGACATACTTAACGGTCACTCTCATATAACAAATTGGGTAGAAGCATGCTTTTTCAAGCAGCTGTTTCCCTTCTTTTGACAGAAGTTCATTCTTTGCATCAAATGATACACTATCCATCCTCTCTCTACCAGTATTGATAAATTTTGATATTTTTAAAATTATTTTTCCATGTTTAATAAGCATTCTACCAACATAAAATTTACCTATTTACATTCATTTTCTATTTATATATAATCTACAGATCTTGTCAAGCATTAACTGTCTTGGTCTTCAATATATTTATTTTCAGATCCATATTTCTTATTTTAGCAGTAATTGAAATCATTCAGATTCTCAGCCAATAATATAGTTTTATGTGCATTTTCATATCCACAAACAAAATTCCTCTAAATCCCGAATGTACTTATCCATAAATTCATAATATTCCTGGTGTGCATCACATATCCTTGTCTTATTATTTGCTCAATACTAAACTGTTCAAAAAATATTCTATTTTTCTTACCCATGCTTTCCTTCCATCATGCTGCACACATACCATATTCAGTAACCAACTGTCAATTCTATTATTTAAAGTTGTATGCTACTATTATTTAGCTTGTATGCTACTTAAATTCTAATAACCTTTCAGTCAGAATTCTACAAATTTGTTTCCAGGCACACTTCATTAACTCTAGGTTTTTTTTGTCATCCTTTTTTTAAAGGAGAACAATAAAATCATTTTCTAATCATCATATACAAATGTAGTCTTCACATTCATATTAAGCAAATCACAGAGCCTATTATAAGGAAACCATCCATATTTCATGAGTTCTCCAGTTCCATTGTGTATAGCTCCTTACACCCCTGGTCAAAGACCAGAGCATTTTGTATCCTGTATTTCAGCCTGTAATTATTTCTCTCATTGCCACACAATTGATTACAGCTATCTGATTCTGACATTCAGTTGATGTCTGTTGTGGGGTGAGAGGGGATAGAGGGGTTAACGTGATATGTTTGTGTTCAAGAATGCCATTGCATTTCCCCAGGTTGGGGAAAGTTTGCATAGTCCATAGGGCATGGTCGGCATGCATTAATTCTCCCTCTGCCTCTCATCAACACTAACGCTGACTTACTTACAGAAAGCCTAATAGCAAACATTTAGTTGAAGTTTACCTATTGTCTCGGGAAAAAATAATGCTGCATATTGTAGAAATTGTGGAAGTGCCTTTTTAAAACAATTGCAATTATTATTGAAGAATAAATAAAATACTGTTTTACTAATTCACATCCAAAAATAATACATTGAGGAGATACAACAGCATTTATATTCTATCTTAGATTTCAGAGGAAGGCAGAGCAGGATTTTAAAACAAAGTTCTTCAAACATAATGGCATTTTATCCTTTAGGTAGGAATTATGGAAATATACATTGGTTACTTAACTACTTATTTATTGTATAGGGATGTGAACACAATACGAACCAACTTCTGGGCATTTCTTTCTCTTCCGTTAGCTTTCCATGACACAGTATATGCACAGTTATAACCAGCTCGAGTCTGCTGCTTTCTGTTATGCACAAAATCAAAAAATTTGTTTTCATACCAATAGGCTACAAGCAGACTTATAATAAACATCTAATAGTTTAATTTAGCAGCTATTGCTGTTTTGAAAACACATACTTTATGCCTATCTGCTTGTCCTGATAAGACTCTTATAAATCCTGTTTATAGTTGGAGAATACTGGAGAAGATCTCAAGGATGGGGTGTGCCGCTATGAAGGAGCTGTCGTCATACTTGATGCTGGAGCTCAGTATGGAAAAGTCATAGATCGCCGGATCAGAGAACTGTTTGTCCAGTCAGAAATTTTTCCTTTGGAAACACCTGCTTTTGCAATTAAAGAACAAGGATTCCGGTAAGATTGAGCCTTATATTAATTATATGTATGCTCCATTAACAGTTTTGTTTCAATATGTGAGACCAGAAAGTTACAGCTTGTATCCTTCAACTGTAAACCAGACCAAATAATCTGTAGAAGACTGTATTTCAGCTTTTAAGTTGTATGCAGGAACCTTAAACTCTACCAAAGCAAGTAAGACTAGAAAATATAAATACTCAGATTCCTATCAAAGAGGAGATTATCTAATTGTGGGGTGAATTATTAATTTTCCCTAAGAGCCCACGAGAAACTGGAACTGTTGTGGAAGACCGAACCATTAGACTAAATTTAATTTTGCCACCGGCACCCACATGTTAAGGAAGGAGGGAACGCAGAGCCTCATCTCGCTTCAGACCAGCCTCCATTCTGCCCCAGTCGCAGGAAAGTTCTTTCTCTCGCCTGCTGAACAAAGGAGTGTACTTGTATTCTGCTTCTGCCTCCATTCTATAACTTCCAGTTGAACTCAGCTGGGCAGGATAGGGACAGCCAAAGGGCTGAATATGACCTGGGTGCCATAAAATGCCCAGCTCTGGTCTAATTCCATTCAAATGAAAAGTGTAGATTACATTAATTAGTCCCATACATTTCTCTATTTCCTATTGCATCACACTGAGACTAGTGGCAAATTTTAGAAAGGATTTTGGGTGTGTACCCAAGATTTCATGGAATCACATGTTGCTCTATCACTTCAGGCAATGAATTTCAAATGTCTAAATGTTGGCAAATTTAAGAGGTAATGGAAGGCCAACTAGTGATAGGATTCGTAATTTTTGGTTCTTTTCAGCTCCAAGGCTTTGTGTATATTCTATTAAGTAGTACTTGAAAACATCTACATGAGAAGTAGAAATGGTGTGGAGCATGCTAAAATCAGTTGAATGATATCAAATGAAATATTTTATAGCATTTTGTTTTATGAATACATAGATGCTTACCCATCTTACCATTCCCTGCTGGATAAGCAACATTATGTGAAGTATGGAAACGAAGTAAGAAATAATAAAACAATGGAGAAATAAAAGACGAAAATGAAGAGAGCTAAAACTAAATTGCACCAATATCTTCACTATAGTTCATACTTTCTATTCTTACAAACTGTCCTTGTTTCTACCATATGGAAAAAGTCAAGTTTTTGAGTTTCTCTTTTTAACATCTCTTGAACACCATCCAAATATAGCTTTCTCGGTCTTTCTTTTTCTTCTCCCTTGCAATTAAATGCTTATTCATTCTCTGTATTGCCAACCATTTCAAAATACTTAGATCCTGACCACTTAGCATTGTATTAAATCAGCATTCATGGAGCCATCTATTAGTTCCTGAATTCTCAGTTATATTAAAAGGGAGATATGGGGAAGATTTTTTCCCCATGACCTGAGAAGCTAAGAACAGAAGTAATAAGTGGCAGCTATCTAGATTTCATCTAAGTATAAGGAGAATTTTCTGATGGTAAGAGTTATACAGCAGTAGATAATCTGCTTATGGAGACTGTGCGTTCTTCATCTGTAGAAGTTTTAAGGAAGAGGCTGGATTGCCACCTATTATGGTTGGTATAATTATTCTGCACAATACACAGCATTGATTTAGATTAAGACAGCGCAGCTCTTAGATGGGAAAGGATATTTGCTGCATTCAAAATAATTGTGGATCACAAAACAATAACTGGTGAGCCAATCTAGCTGCTTGGTGGCTAGAGGCATGGCAGCAGTGATGCAGCTATCAATCTCTCCAGTTGAAACCTGCTATTATTGCAGGTGCCCTGTAGCATGTCTTTCAGGGCAGAGATGGCGGCAAAAAACTATACAGCATATTCTTCCTGGTGGCAGTGACATTTTGAGGCAGTAATTTGTCAGAATTTTCAACAAATGCCTGCAGGACGAGGCTACATGTTGTACAGCTCTGTTCTACATAATCCATGTAACCTCTTTGAGCTCTGCAAGTCTATGATTTTATGAACCTGTCTCTTATTATTACCAAATACACCTCTTAAACATCCATTTCTGTTGCATTCAAATTACTTTTCCTCTCAGTTTCCTTAACAAAATGAACAAAACACTCTGTTAACACTCTATTATTACTTCTTTCAACATTCATTCCTTATCGCAGACCACATACTACCCACTAAACGTATACAAGCATTTGTATATCTTAAATATTTCTCCATCCTTTTCCTTGTCGTTAATTAACATTTTACCAAGGCAACCAATGCATCTAATTTCTTTAGTACCTGAACATCAAAAGACCACATGAATGAATACATTTACTGATAAGGTTTGCATACCTATATAATACTAAAACTCTTGTGATCTTTTAAACTGTTTTCATTCTTTAACTGGATGAAACTATACATCATAATGCAGGGGTGTCAAATTCAAGGGCTGGATGCATCACATGCTGGCCACCCCACCCCCATTTTAGGATAGGGGAAAAAAGTAATGATACGTCATGTGATGCGGCGAGTTTGATATCCCTGTCATAAGACAATTTTTGAACCAAGATTATCTCATATGGCCTAACTTACACAACATATCCAAACTCCAGGTCCAATGACTCCTGAGGGTATGAAATTTTGGCAAATTGCGGCTGCTTCAGCGTACTGGCTGTTGCTATGGTGACATGACCTTCATTTTCACTTGACAGTTTTGCAGCCAATCTCAGGGAAGGGAAAAGGGAAAGGAGAGGAGAGTGAGAAAGGAAGATAGGTTGATTTGGCTGGCTAGTTGATTGGTTTTTGGTGTTCCCTGCGCGATTCCCACAAAAATATTGAATGGGCATGAAGTCATTCCTACTCCCACTACTTTTTTTGTCATTCTTGGTTATTTTGTTTCTCTGTTTAGGTAAGGAAATGGCCCGATGGGGCACAGGTTATTATAAAATAAAAGCTGGACTTTAAGCCTGTTCACTGTCATGTAGCAGAGAGCTATAAATAGGAGAAAAATATAACATTTGTTTTTTCCTAAGTGGTGTTCATGGCACTGTCTTCTATAAGACAGTGGTCTTTGTAGTCAAAGTAAAATTTCTATTGAACAGGAAGACTTGTTCTATTGAACAAAAAAGTCCCTTTGAATGGTAGGGCACATATACAATATTTTGTCCTTTAGTAAAGTGTAAAATGATTTATTAAGTTTCCAATTGCGGTGACAGGAACAATTCTGTTTCTCTGCATGGTTACTTTGGATATGTAGCTTCCTGTAGTCTTAGCGGGAGCAAACATTGATAAGTGTTGCTTTAGCATGGCCAGAAATAGGCTTGCCATGACAACATAAACCCTCAGGGTTACATAAAATGGAACAAATTTCCCAGATTCAAAGAAAACAAGGACGAGTAGGCCAGCCCTGATTTCTTATATCACCCTTTACATAGACAGACTGACTAGCTATAATGGAGGGCTGTCTACAGAGGCTCTCTGGGTAATTGATTTTTGATGGTCCTCAACTATCCAAAGAGCCTCCAAGGATACAAAAGTTGTTCTAGCCCAGTTTTATTGAATTCAGGGTGGTCAATAGAAGGAACAATTATTTCCCTGCCCTCAAATTGAGGTAGTTTGTCTCAATTTTATAAAATATCTGAGGAGGGCTGTTGATTTCCCTACATTGCTTCCAATTTGTTTTTAACTGATAAAAGAGTTCAGTGTTGGCAAGTATATGCGGGCATGTTTTGTTTCTTTGATTTGGAAGCAGTTTATATAAAAGGAAAACGATAACTTTCTGTGTAGTTGTATGCTTGCTCTCCTAAGGGAGTATTTACGTTGTTTTTCAGTTCCATTAGTCACTGGATATAATCATGATTTGTTCATGTTTGATGGAAAAGTCAAACATATCCATTGTTTTATAAATGAAAATGCCCTACTGAAAATGCATTCACAATAGCAAAATTTGTTCCAACATTGGAATGTGCTGTACTATTTGAATTATTTTTCTCCTTGTTTCTGATAGGACATAAAGTCTAAATAGGAATCTCTGGAAGTACTTTAAATTTTAAAAGGTTTATTAAACTAATATACAGATAGTCCTCATGAATCTGATAGAGCCTGGAGTTTCCATCATAAGTCATGATAGTCATAAGTCAAGGCACCCATGTGACCAATCTGATTTTATGACTTTTTTTCCAGCAATCATAAAGCAAATACTGTAGTTGTAAAGTGAATATTACAGTCATAAAGCAAACACTGCAATCAGAAAGCAAAAACTCCACTCCTAATATGAGTCAGTTCATTCCTATAGATGGTTTTTGGCCAGAAAATGCCAGAAACTGGCAAAAAATGTTATAAATCATGATCATGCAACCAACCATAAAATTGAGACAGTTGCCAAGCATCTGAAATGCAATCTTCTGATCAATCTGTGTGTTTTTATGTTTGTATGGTGTGTGCATGCTGCCATTGTAACTCAGAAACTGGGTTCTAAGTATCTTTTGGGGGAATCCATCATAACTTTGAAAGTCACTAAGCAAGGATTACCTGTAACCACTGACTGTAATTAAATATAAACTATGGTCAATGAATATAGTAAAGTATACATCATAATGCAGGGCACTGACCACAGCTTGTGCCTAAGAGCATGAATATATAAAGTCATCCCAATAGCATTGAGATTGCAAAGATTGGAGAACACAGTTGCAGGGTGCTTGCCAATTCATGGGATGCTGTCAGCAATGACAAATCATAGATTTATCAGAATAATAAATGGACAAAAAGTAAACACCGGTTAAAAGAAAATGAGATTTTCCAAATCATTATTTATTTAATTGTATTACTATTATCCCACCTATCCTACTAAACTTTACCTGGATCCAAAAGAAAATAATGCCAGGAAATGCTCTTATATCCATTGTTTTATAAATGAAAATGCCCTACTGAAAATGCATTCACAATAGCAAAATTTGTTCCAACATTGGAATGTGCTGTACTATTTGAATTATTTTTCCCCTTGTTTCTGATAGGACATAAAGTCTAAATAGGAATCTCTGGAAGTACTTTAAATTTTAAAAGGTTTATTAAACTAATGGAAAATGTTTTATGATTTGGTTTTCACTATAAAACCTATGGTTGCTTTATTTTTTTATATTATAAAAATTTTTTTGAAATCCATCATATCTTCATTTAATTTTCAGTAGTTGTGAATGTAATTTAGGATTGAGTTTCAGAAATTATCTAGAAGGGGGTCACTGGTCCCAAGGCAGCCACAGAGAAGGCCTTTGCACAGTTCAAGTGTAGTACCCATGTTTCCCTGAAAACAAATTAAATCTTATTGTCTTATTTTCTTTTGGGTCCCAAAATAAGCACTGGGGCTTATTTTCAGAGGGGGAAATCTTATCCCCCCCCCCCCCATGTATGGGGGTCCCACTTCTGCTTGTTTGCGGTGGGGCAGGAGGCTGCATAGTGTGACAGTGCTGCTGCCGCAAGACTGGGAGATGGAGCTGCCCTGTGCACCCTGCCCCAGCTTGCCTCAGGACTCCCTCAGCTAGGCCACCCATGGCCAGATACCTACCTCGCATCGTGGTCATGGCAGCCCCATCCAGCAGGACTCTGTGTGGCCGCTGGCCCACTTCTGCCTGCTCATGACCGCAAAGGAGTAGTAAGCTGAGCAACGCACCAATGCCACAGCCACAAGGCAGGTGGAGCTGCCCCATGCTCCCTGCACTGGCTTATGCAGCCAGGCATCCATGCCCTGACACCTGCCTCGCCTCATGGCTGCAGCACCATAAGCAACAAGACGGAATGTGTGGGTGGCTGCACAGACTCTTGGGTAGGGCTTATATTAGGTGCACACGTAAAAGAAACTTGCTAAGGCTTATTTTCGGGATAGGTTTTATTTGCAGGGAAACGGTATAATATACTGCTGATTCTCTCAAAATACTTTTTCTTAGCCAATTGTCTTATAGTGTTTTCTTAGAAGTTCTCTATTATATTATGAGTATCAGTGAGAATGAATTTTTATTGTATGACTAAAAAAAACAACACAGCTCTAGAAACTTAATTTTTGCTGAATGCTGAAACAAGCTTAAAGGAAAAATTCAATTTAAATATGCCACATTTTAGGTTTTGTGTGATGCTTCTTGTTTACGTCTTGATTTTTTAAAAAGAATTTATTCTTATTTATAATAGTTTGCTGTTTTAATAGATGTAAAATATACACATGCAGTATTGCTTTTATCAAAGTTTTGTGCAGATTTAGAGTGATATATGTTTATTAAAATGTTTAATTTCAACACCTTTGTTTTTATAAATTATCTCTTACCTTTCTAGAGCCATCATCATCTCTGGAGGACCAAATTCTGTTTATGCAGAAGATGCTCCCTGGTTTGACCCCGCAATTTTTACAATAGGCAAACCGGTCCTTGGAATCTGCTATGGCATGCAGGTGCTACTTAACATTTCTACAAATACTTATGACTCTGTGGGTTTATTTTTTTTTGCTTTTGGTGTTTGTTTGCCTAATGCCAAATAACTATTATAATTTGTACTCATGCAATATATAAGAACCTTATTTAGAAGTAGACTAAAATGAGCTTTTTAAAGAAGAATGTATCTTGTTCTCTGCTTGTCACTAATAGCACAGTCCCTAATGCAATCTGTGCATGGAAGTTTTGCAGGCCAATCTGTTGTTCTTCATGTGCAGAAGCCTGCCGGAAACTGATTCATGAGCTTTTTGAGGCCATCACTATGGAGAATAATAAAACAGGCATCATTTTTTAAAATGGGATTGCTATGGTTTGGCCTTTCTAATAAATGAGTGGTGTGTCATTGTAGCCTTGATATTATTTGCAGCATTTCACACGTTAATTAGCAATTATGATGATGGTACAGTTTGCATATCCAAATGTTCTTGCAACTCCCTCCAACACAGAGAGATGTTTTCTCAGAGTAATCCTTCTTCTCTAGTAGAAGAGTAGAATTTAATACTGACAAGGTTCTGCAAATGAAACAAGTGATCTAATGACATAGGTTCAAAAACAGGGGTGGTCTGGAAAGAACATTTGTAATAGCTGGGATCAGTTAAACATTTGAAGTAGTTGGGGTTGACTAAAATAAAAATAAATAAAGGAGATAGTATTATTTTATGAGAAATTAATCTGCCCAATCTAAGACTTTACCAGCCATGAAGAAGAGAGGATAAAAGAAGTGGTTTTTGATAATTTATTAGTTGTACTGAAAGTGGTCATTTGCTAAGAGAGTTCGGTGTATGGGAAGATCAGTAGAGAAGATGTAGCACAAGAAAACAATGGAAGCTGAGTTTTAAAAATACTATTTGATCAGTAGCAAAAACAAGAAGAATATACAGTTAGTCCTTGATGTATGAACACAATTGGGACTGGAACATCTGTCGCTAAGCAATGCAATTAAGTGAGTCATGCCTAATTTTAAGATTATTTTTGCCACGGTCATTAAATGATTCATGCAGTCATTAGGCAAATCCAGCTCTCCCCCCTCCAAATTTACTTTTCTTGTCAGGTGCTGGCGGGCAAGATTGCAAATGGTGATTGTGGTAATCACCCCAGGATGCTGCAATAGTTGTAAATATATGCTGGCTGCCAAGAGCCCAAATGGCAATCAGGTGACCTCAGGGATACTAATGCTTGTAAGTGCAAGGACACTTTTCAGCACTCTTGTGTAACTTCAAACTTTAAATGAATGGTTGTAAATAAAGAATTTCCTCTAGAAAGAAAACAATGAAGACACAGATCAAGACTCTAAAAGAATGTGCAGATCAGAAGCAATTAGTTTTAATATGAGACAACAGAGGAATTGAGCAAAGAGAAAAGCAGAAAAGTGTATAATCAAAGTCTGTTAAAAAGCATAATTTTTGAAAATAGAGATAATGTATAAGCAGAGAGAGACAAAATGATAATCAGAAATATTGTTAATAGGTATAGAATGAGGGTGTAAATACGGATTTCAAAAAATGAAAATCTATAGATTTTAGAAATGGAAAAAACTGGCAGTCTAAGTAGCAGTAGGGCTACAACGAAAGCTTAAGTTGAATATTTGCCAATGAAAAGAGAAAAAAATGAAATTTGTGTATAAGTTAGAACACATGGGAACAGTGCCAAAAGTATTGAAATTCTTAACAGTGGAGGATTGAATTGTAAAACTGTCAGAATTAATGGAAATATTAAAACTGACCTATTTGGTCAGACAGAAAACAACTTGCCGTTTTAAACACTGAAAATCTTTTGTGAATTTTTTCCTAAAAGAAGAAAACTAAAGTGAATGATGTGGATTTAATGATTGGAAAGGTTGAGAATTTAATATGGGGTTGCAGGGGTTTCTGGAAGAGATAAGAGAGCGGGAGATTTGTTTGTCAATATGTTAAAAGATACAAGTCATTTTTCATAACTGTAGTTTTTCTTTTCCTGTACCTTTTTTCTTTTGATTTGTCTTATACTTTATGTAAAATTCTTAATCTAAAGTAAAAAGAAACAATGAATGTGTAAAAATCAATATTCTGATCTGCAAAGTAGCCATAGAGAAAAAAAGTTAACCGAAAAGAAAAATCTTGTTTCAGTGAGATCAAAAAGAGGCCGAAAGAACCTGACGTGGAAACATTAATTTATGCATTATTAGTCCTGAACAATCTTGACTAGATTTGAGGAAAGCAGAAGGTGACTTTTATAAATACCTAAGCATGTTTGTTCTGGGAAATGAAAACTACTCTGCAGTGGTGCAAAACTCCCCCAAATCCTACCAACCCCAGGACTGAGTCTGAGCAAGCTTCTGATAAGGTTGCCTGCTGATTCTATTCATCTCAGCAAAATGAAATACCACTGCTTAAAATGTATTGTAACAATACAGAAACAGTCAAGCATAATAAATGCCATGTCAAAATAGAACTCCCTCAAATAGCAAGGTTTCATGCAAGATCAAACACAGTGTAGTGCGAAATAATAATAAAGCAAGCTTTTAAATTGCTGACTGCCATTGTTATGTCTAAATGCACAAGAAGAAATCTGTTTGTGGAGTCTATAAGCCAAGATAAAAATACTAGCTTATGGGTAGCCCAAATAGGACAGATAATCTGCTATGGAAGGAATAATAATAATAGAGTTTTTTTACATCTCTTTGAACACTGTAATAAAAAAAATGCAGTGGTAATATCTTATATTGCTGGTGCTTTATAATAGACGCAACTAAAAAGGTTGGCTCTTGAAATGTGGCATCACAATGCAATGAGCCCAGTGTGGACATGTATCTACATCATTTTTATTATGGGTCTGAAACCCATTTTCAGCTGTATAGATTCATAAGCAATCTTAAAAGTCTTACAAAGGAAATAGTAAACCTCAGGTGAATTACAGAAAACATATGCTTTTGTAGAAACTAAATATCTATTTGAGAAACTGTTTCCTATAGGCAAAATATTCTAACTGAAGATGAATAATTGTGAATTTTTACCTGCAATCTGAATTGAAAGAGATATAATATAGTAGTTAAGGTTGTAAGCTTAAAAATCACTGAATATATTCCTGGTTCTTACAAAATTAGCATCACGATGATTTATGAAATCAATTCTGGAAGAAGTGGGAGCAAATATTTATAATTTAAATAGGTCTTGTACTGTTTAGAATTTACTTGCAAGTTACATGTCTGTAGGAAAATGACAGCAGAGCATAACAATGGTAGATGATGCCTGAACTGGATTTTCTTTCTCATGCATTGGGTTGGTTTTTCATTCTACAGCATTTAAAGAATTAGGAATATTTAAGTTTAGAGGAGGACCAAGTAGCTTCTCCATTGTGTAAAGCAGGGGTCCCCAAGTCTGCACCAGTTCCAGTCTATGGCCTGATAAGAACTGGTGGAATTACTAACTTCATTGTCATTTACAGTTTTAAATATACAAATTACTTGCATTGATAAGCAATAAGCAGTTCTGATATCCTGAATAGTTGTTTTGATTTTTGGTTTTTTAAAAAAGCTAAACAAAGGGAAAGGGTAGCCAACAGTAGCTGAATGTTGTAATTACCAGATTAGTAACTTGTTTTTTGGTGTTTTTTTTGACAGATGATGAATAAGGTATTTGGTGGTACAGTACACAAAAAGAATGTCAGAGAAGATGGTGTCTTCAGTGTTACATTAGATAACACTTGTTCATTATTCAGGTATGAAAAGCTTTTGATAATGAATTATGAAGCTGAAATTAAATTGGACATCTTATGAATTGCACAGAGCTGTGTTTAATTGTCAGTTTCAAACCTGGAAAATATTTGTTAATGTTCTGGAAAATTTGTTGATGTTTAATGTTTCCTCTTGACTGTTTTAAGTTGATGTCTTTTAAAGGTATTACATTCATTATTTTGTGATCCTGTTTCACTTTAGGGGACTTCAGAAGGAAGAAGTTGTGCTCCTTACCCATGGAGACAGCGTAGATAAAGTAGCAGATGGATTCAAAGTTGTTGCTCAATCTGGAAATGTTGTAGCAGGTACTATATTTTCCACATTATCAATATTCAGTATATTTTGGTTATATTTCACTGCTGCCTTGAATAGGATTTTGGTTTGTAAAATACATTTTCAGTTATTTGCATATAGTGCAATAAATTGTGATTTTAAAACATTAAAAATCCTAAAAGAGTAACTTTAATTTGTAGTTCATTTCCAAGAAAATGGTTCAACGTCTTGACAGATAACATTAATATTTTTTACAAAAAATGTCTCACTATATCAGGAGGATATCAGGTTGGGAAAAGGAGATATAGTAGATTCTTTAATAATATTTTGACATCTTTCTCATGTAGACCTGGTTTTATCTTACTAAGTTTTTTTAAAAAAATGCTTTCTTTTTCTTAGAGCTAAAACTATTACATCTTTTGTTTTTAATAACACCCAAGCTATAGCAAATGAATCAAAAAAACTGTATGGAGCGCAGTTCCATCCTGAAGTTAGTCTTACAGTGAATGGAAAACTGATGCTGAAAAACTTTCTTTTCGACATTGCCGGATGCAGCGGTACCTTCACAGTTCAGAACAGAGAAATGGAGTGCATTCATGAAATTAAAGAGAAAGTAGGATCATCAAAAGTCCTGGTAAGGTGTGAAGTTGAATCCATAGCTGTTATGGATAGTATCGTTATCAGTTTTAGTTTTCATATTTTTGTATTTATTTTTTAAGGCTTTTTTGTTTGCTGAACAATTACTTCATTGTATGGAATGAAATGGGAAAGAGGAATTTTTTTCAGCCACAACCCCCAAAAATGTGGCAATGATACTGTGCCAAACAGAAATGAAGCTAGTTGCGACAAATGTCCGACCCTGTAATAGAAACAGTGAAAACTAAAAAAAGCAAATACAATTCTATGCTTGATCATACTGTTCTGTCCATTAAATGTATTTATTGCAGCATTTTCACTCTGTTTTTTTTCTCCTATATGTTAGACTTCAGCTTGCAAGACTGTGGTTAGGAATTCTGGACCCATAGTTTTACACTTGTGAAAATTACTAGATGGGAAAAGCGGATTTAATTATCTCTGCTTCCATTTAATCCATATAGGTTTTACTCAGCGGAGGCGTAGATTCTACAGTGTGCACAGCTTTACTGAACCGTGCTTTAAATCAAGACCAGGTGATAGCAGTCCACATAGATAATGGATTCATGCGCAAGAGAGAAAGTCAATCAGTGGAAGAGGCATTAAAAAAATTGGGAATTCAAGTCAAAGGTATTACGCTCATGCTAAGGTTTTTTTTAAAAAAAATCTTTCCAATATCTCTGTTGAGTTTTAGAATATGTAGTTTCTTCCTTTTTAAAATTTAAATGATGGATTGATAACCTCATTTTATTTTTTTGGTTTTGGAAAATAAGAATCCTTCACAATTTAAGACTTTTCTTGGAAAAATATATTTGCAAACATTTTATATATTGGGTGGATAATCTTATCATCATGCTTGTTATCACGGGATCTTTTGTAGATATCTCAGCATTTTTATATTGCCTTTATTATTATATTCATAAGAATGTTGTCTTCTATCCAGTCAGCAGTCAAGGCAGCCAGTAAGAAAGAATAAAACATAAATTTTATTAAATTTTAGTGATTAAAATCACACTCAATAATTGAAGATTAAGAACTCCTTTACTGCTTTCCTGAGGGAACTTATACCTTGGAAACTATGGAGAAACTACAGCTTATTTTTCCTTTCTATGACGCTTTTCGAATGCTCCAAAAGTTGGAGCTCCTATTTTTTAATCCCTCCCTGTTCTCATCACTCAACTGCCAGCCTTTTCGATAGAATCATTAGCTTAAAACTTTCTTCAGTGGTTCCAGAGTAGGACCTCTTGTTTGACAAGAAAAGGCCAAGAACCTCTCAGCTGCCAACACCTAATATCCTTGGTTGTCTCCCTGTCTACCATGGCTGTATTCAAGGCAGGTGTTTGACTTAATTTAGTAAAAATCTGCTGTTGCCTTTGTTCTTTTGTACAACACATAGTGAAACTTTGGAATTCACTGCCATAAGATGTGGTGCAAGTTTGGCTGGCTTCAAAAAAGGCTAATTCATGGAGTTTATGAGAATCAGTGGCTCTCAGCCTTGGTGGCAGAGTGGCTTCCTTTGAAGGCTTCTGTTGAGAGGCTAATAGGCTCCCTTGTGCAATTGGTTGGCCACTGTGAGAACAGACGTTGGTGTAGATGGGCTACAAATCCAAACAAGTAGGATACTTATGTAATGCATTAAGAAATTGAAATATCTTGGTACTGTCTAAAGAAACTGGGTGATTTATTTCGTTGTAATGGAAGAAAGGGTTTGGTTTAGTTTTCTGTTACATTAGGTGAAATATCTGGCTGAGTAAATAAAAAAGGTTTTATCCTGGCAATAAGGTTGTAATGTAACACAGCTTGTTATTTGTGTGTGTAAGAAACTGGGTGTGTGTGTGTGCTCGAATTAATGTTCCAGTGCTAAATCCTTGAAATGAGAAAAATGTTAGACTATTGGTTTTCAAATATTTTAGCAATGTTACTAACAACAACATCCTGTATGTTATATAGTGGTAAATGCAGCTCATTGGTTCTACAATGGTACAACAACTTTACCTATTTCTGAAGAAGACAGAACTCCTCGAAAAAGGATCAGTAAAACACTGAATATGACTACAAGTCCTGAGGAGAAACGAAAGATCATTGGTGACACTTTTGTGAAGGTACTTAGTGTATATACCCATTGGTATAAGCTGTCTCTGGTTTTCAGAAATTTCAAGTGAATCATTTCTTCAGTTTTTGTGGTAACTGTGTAATGGTTTATACAAATGTGCTCTTATGAATGTATACAGTACTTGTATCAGCTAACATATCTGTCACAAATATTTTTGAAAACTGACCTTATCCTTGCTCTGATGGAATACTTGAAAGGATCAGATTACTAATTCATAGTACCTCATTTGCATGTCCTATGTTGTTTATACATCATAAATCATAGGGTAAAGCTGAGTGCCGAAACTTGAGCACAAATGCACCGAAAAAGCACTGAGTGCTGAAACAGGTGTGTGCATGCACCAGAAACAAAAGCAGCTCCAGGTGCGTGCATGCACACCGTCCACCTGGTCTTCTGGCTTCTAATGTGCATGTGCGTGTGAAGACCAGCTGGCCGGCCGATTTCTAACATGCATGCGCACACTGGTCAGCTGGGCTTCGTGCATGCATGCGCATTAGAAACTGGAAGACCAGGTGGCCAGCTGGTTTCTAACGCGCCTGCGTCTGCCGGCCAGTTGGTCTTTGCACATGCGTGTGTGCTGGCCAGCTGGTCTTTGTGCGTGCATGTGTACCGGCCAGCTGGTCTTCACACATACATGTGCATTAGAAACCGGAAGACCAGCTGGCTGGCACTCATGCGCACGCCGGGAGCTACTTTTCCAGTTTTCTGTGCTCCTGTGCACACGAAGACCAGCTGGCCAGCACGCATATGCATGCCAGAACCTGGAAGAGCAACGGGCAACAGCTGATGTGCCCAGAGAGATGGCTCTGCGTGCCACTTCCAGCACATGTGGCATAAGTTGTCATGGCTATAGGCTATCTGGCCTTTCCTACCATTTTGGTGATTACTGTCTGCCCTAACACTAATAGGACTTATCCTGCCATAATTCAGGCATATTCGAATAATCCAAACCTTATTTTTCCCTGCAGGCTTGTGCACTCTTTTAGCAATAAACTTTTAATAATAGTGAAACAAAACTGACTTTTAAGGAAAGTCACAGTTTTGTCCAGTAGGGGTCACCTGTCATTCATTTTATTTCATGGACACTGAAAATAACCATATTATAATTCAGTTGTGCCATGTTAATCATTTTTGCTTTGGGCTTCTTTGAAATGGTGTACAATTCACGTTTCATAACTTGCTGTGGAAGTATTAAGGTTTTTTTTGAAGCGAGAACAAATTGTTATGATGCAGCTATTTCCACCCAGTTTAAAATATTAAACAGTTTTGTATAATAAAAATGTAATAAAAAGTGTAATAGGAACATAATGAACAAGGTACTAATCTAAATTCTAGTGTATGTGTATATACAAAAGAGTATTCACAAAGAAATGATGTAATAAAACATTATGGATAAAAAAAATGAACATAACTATATTCCCAGCCTTGTTGCATTGTTTTCTAAAAAATGCTGTGGAGTTCCTAACTTTGGTAACATTTCTTATGCAGACCATGGACTATGAAAGAGCAAATTGTTGTAGTATTGTGCTGAATGTCAGTTTGCTCAGAGAAGGGAAAGGGGAATGCCACGCCATTAGTTAGAAAAACATTTTGAGTCCTAAGAAAGTGGGAAATGTGGGAAAGAAACTTAAAGCAACTCCACCTTGATTGTGTTAGATATAAATTTAAATAGAAAGGGGCTTTGAGAAGCTTTTACGTTTCTGTTGCATTACATTAATTGAGCTCAGGAATATTCCCAAATCTCTAGTGACTCCTGTTTCCTGAGCTTGCTTACCCAAAGGACTGACATTAAGTGACAAAACTGCATATGAATTAAACTCTGCAATGCTTTAGACTTTAGGTTATGTGAGTTGTTTGCATATCTCAAGGCATCAACTTAGTAGGCTGAAAAAAGCACATTTCATATTAGAGTTACTGGCAGGTCCTACGTGTGTACCCCCAAGATTTACAAGACTACTTTTTGCCTATGTATCCAAAACACTACCTGGCACTAATATGGCTGTCAGTTACTATATAGGTAATTTTCCCTTAATGTCCACTTATTCAGCAAGCACTTAAATTTACAACGGTGCTCAACAAGGAGTATTTACAGTGGATTGTCATATTTGTGGCTGTTGTAGCATCCCTACTGCGCCATGATTATGATTATAAAACCAGCTTGCAGTTACAATGTTGCAGCATCCTGCAGCCACATGATCATCATTTGTAACCTTCACAGTAGGCTTCCAACAGATAAAGTCAACGGAGAAGCTGACAGGAGATCGCAAATAGCAATCATGTGATTCTGGTCACTGTGACTGTGGGATTTGCCTAACGACAGCATTTGGGACAGGACCATTCTATGTGTGGTCATGTGATGTCACACCTTATGACTGCGTTGCTTAGCAGTGGAATTCCTGGTCTCAAGTATCCTCAGTAAGAGAAAACTATATTGACATAGTTGCCATTCCTGAGAAGTTGCAGTTTATAACTTACTTGTAGAGTATCATCTAAGATCTTTCTCTTTCCCGACCCCACGTTCTAGATTGCTAATGAAGTTATTGGAGAACTGAATCTGAAACCAGAAGAAGTCTTCCTTGCCCAAGGAACATTAAGGCCTGATCTCATTGAAAGTGCTTCAGTTATTGCTAGTGGCAAAGCAGAAGTCATCAAGACCCACCACAATGACACAGAACTCATCAGAAAGTTACGGGAAGAGGTAAATAAAACACTACATCTGACTTCACTTTTTTGGAGAAATAGTTTAGCACTGGTAAACTCTGGTCAATTTTTTTTCTAATTGCTCATCTAGTAGTATTGAGGGTTAAGGTTTTGCTAGTTAAACAATTGTTTTTGCCATTTAATAGTACTTTCACATAGGAAGAACTAAATTGCAATCCAAAATATTTGTATACTATATAGCCCACAGAAAATGAGACACCCTACTGTTATAATAAATACACAAGCAATTTTAGATTCAATTTTACAGACAGGTTAAAAATTATTTTCTGCTTAAAATAAACATATTGTGCTAATTCTGTGGAGTGTGATTCTAAATACATTAAATGCATATAGGTATTGTATATGCATATTGGTGGTACAACAGTAAATAGAGTCAACTTCACTAATATTTTTGCTTCTGATATTTCATTGGGATTGTAGATGCGAGATTGAAATTATAATCTTAATAGCAATAATACATTAGAACTTTTTTTAGTAAGTGTGTGCTATTTAAAAATGACTTCTCTAATGTAAATCATGCTGTTTTCGCTTATAGGGAAAAGTAATAGAACCACTGAAAGACTTCCATAAGGATGAAGTAAGAGTGCTTGGGAGAGAGCTTGGTTTGCCTGAAGAACTAGTTTCAAGACATCCATTCCCAGGTATAAAATTGATTAAATTTATAAACACATAAAATACTAGAACCTCTAATTCTAAGAAGTTCCAAAGGGCCACGTAGGTTCAAGTGGGAACTGAAACCCATCTCTCTCTCTCTATTAAAAAAAATATCATCTATTTTTCCCCCAAGCATCCACTTCATAAGCCACATTTTACAATTTATGTAGTGTTTTTTAATAGGCTTGTTTCTCTTTCCCTCTCCTAATCCCAAAGTTAACTTACAAGTGTAGAAAGAAAGGTGAGCAGAATTACATGGAGAAAAGCGGGGGGAGGGAAACATAACAAAACAACAGGACCAGAATACTGCAAGATAAAGGGAGTAAGGGAGAAGTAGTATTTGAAACACGAAAGAAAGCTGGGTAATTTTAGTGCGTGTTCTTAACAGTATTTTTGATGCATTTCAGACATGATAGGCATGTTCATAAATTTGCAAACCCTTTGCTGAATTTCTTTCTGAGAATGATGGTTACCATACTCTTAGTTGCTGTCACATTATATTTCTGAAACATCTTCACATTGGTACAGATGATGTTAGAGTATTCCATTTTTGCCTTTTAGGTCCTGGCCTTGCCATTAGAGTAATATGCGCTGAAGAACCATACGTTTGCAAAGATTTCCCTGAAACTAATAACATTTTGAAAATCATAGCAGACTTTTCTGCAAGTGTTAAAAAGGTAATACTAGTTACTAATACAAAATAACACTAGATATAAATGCGTTTTCATTTTGCTGATGTTTGTGCTAGAATTTGATTAACTCTTAGAAAAAACATCTCAAATAATTTAAGGCCTGATTGAAACATTTTCAGGCCATTTTCTTCTATCCCTTCTGGTATTTCCTCAGTTTTTACCCCATGTTTTTATTTTTATTTTTTCTAGTTTTTGATCTAGTTGTGTTACATTGCCTATCACTTATTCTACTTAGTCATCGCTACTTACGTAAAAAATATACAAAAAGAAGACCTATAATTGCATATGATTCCTAGAATCCTTAAGTAGTTTGTTACATCATTTTAATGTTGATGTTGAATTACATTTTTAATGTGTCTATATCAATGATATGCTAAACTAGCATACCAATCCGAATTTCAACTTTCCCCAACTGGCAGAAAGGCATACTGCTATATTTATTTATTTGCTGCCCGTCTTGTAATGAAACAGCGTGGCTTATAATACATGCATACAATACATCAATCCTTTGAAGGACTTTAAAAAGTCTTAAGAATTTCATAGACCAGGGTCCAAAGACTCAGTTAGAAATCAATTACCTGACAAATATGCTATATACATAGGAATTCACGGTAACTATATCTAATTGTTTCAAATTAAATCATAGCTATTTATATGCACATCAAAGGGCGGAAGCAACTTTTACCTGTTACCTGTTAGTATTTGTTCTTATTTTCAAAGTAGCTTCCAGAGTGATTCTTTATTTAAGAATATTAAAATTAATCCCTTCATCCTCCTTTATACTATGATCCTTCATAACTTTTAAATTCAGCTGTTGTGTTTGCTAGAGATGCATACTAACATTTTATAATACTTAGAATTAACTGCTTTGTTGTCTAGCCTCACACTCTGCTACAGAGGGTCAAAGCATGTACGCCTGAAGAAGACCAGGAAAAATTGATGGAGATCACAAGTCTCCATTCATTAAACGCCTTTTTACTGCCAATCAAAACAGTGGGAGTCCAGGTTGGTGAAGTTGCATCTGTGGCAAATATATAGAATGAATGAATTCTTTATTCTTTATTGGCCAAGTGTGATTAGACACACAAGGAATTTGTCTTGGTGCATATGCTCTCAGTGTACATAAAAAGAAAAGATACATTTGTCAAGAATCAAAAGGTTCAACACTTAATATAGTCCTAGGGTACAAATAAGCAATCAAATCATACTAGGAAACAGTCAATATAAGAAAAGCAATGTATTATACTAGATGGGAGAATTTCTGCAATTTAGTCCTGTTGGCTAGAAAGTCTGAAGTTAGAAGTTCTCACACATATGGAAGGCAGTAGGCTGGAAAAGTCTGGCTCCTTGCTTTTCTTACTGCAGCTGAAAGTAATGTATCTATCTCTACAAGCAAGTAATATTTTTGCAGCTTAGGACAACATCTTTCAGTTATTACTTTAATTGTCAAGAACCATACCCAATAGGGCTGTGGCACTAAGATGTTGCCTAAGAAGGGGTAATTAGAATTTTTGACCTGCTTTTTCCTCTTTTTTCCAGGTTTGAGGGCTTTTAAAATGTGTTTTGTAGGTGCATTAATTCTATTAGAGGCTTCACACTTGAAATCAATTAAATTTTCTACTGAAAATCAAGAAATGATGTACCATTGTTCAAGTGTTTGCCTTCACATTTCAAGAATGTGAACTTGGCTGTAAAAAGTGGCTGAGCTGCATATCCAACAGGTAACTACCATATCTACTCGCAGATAAGCTGAGATTTTAAGATACCCAAATACACCCCCAA